GCCTGTATGTGATGAGGCCGCCGCAAGATGGTAAGCATTCAACCAATTTAAATTACTGACGTTTTAATATATAGCTATCTATACTTCTTTACTAATATAGTAAAGCGTAAATACACACTACTTAATTATATAGGATGTCAGTAATCACACTATATTTTGATTTTTTTTTAATATAAAGCCCTTCACTTACACGCTTTAGGCTATTTTCACGCTATTACTTAGGGAGTAAATAATTTGGAACAATCCGTCATTCGGGAAAGGTACAATAACGACAAGCTGAGTTGCCATGGTAAAGATAATCGTTGTCCAATGTCAAAGGCCATCGTTGTCACTTGTGCATTTGAATTTTGGACATTTGCTATTGAAAATTTCAAAAATGTAAATAATAAAATTAAAAAAAATGTAATATCATGCGGATGAAGCCGCAGAACTCGTAATTAGATACATCTTTTTCCTCTTTCATCAGATGAGGAGATGGTAGAAGAAAGTGCTGTGACGCAAGAGTTGATAGCTTTGGTGCGACATCTGATAGGACCTATCGCAGCATTCCGCAAAGCGGTTGCGGTTCCCGCTCTCCCTCGCACCAGGTCCGGTAAGGCACTACGAGGTGCCATCGCCAAGCTTGCCAGGTCCCAGCTGGTTAGACTGCCACCGACTATCGAAGATCCTTCAGTCTTTAAAGAAATTAAAACAGCGTTGCAGAAGTTTGGTTATGCGATCGACGCGCCTGATCCAGAAATTAGTACTTAATAGATTGTCTGAAAACGTCAAATTAATTTCATTTTTTTATGACATTTATTAATGTTCTTAAAATGTCAATATGTGTTGCGTCTTTGTACAGGAACTGAAAATATACATTGACCAGTTACTGGCTTAAAGACGAAATCCTTTTGTACATCGATTATTAAATATTTATATATTTTTGCATATGCGAAGATTTTATAGTTATTTCTTGTAAAAACTTAAATAACCTACAAAATTTTGACTTGCAGTAATGGGGATGTTTCCTAATTTTGTAATTGCTTTTAATCTAAAAAAGAAAAAAATTAATAAAACCATACACGCAACATTTAATTACAAAAACAACTTCTCGAAAGACCGCGAAAACGCCTCATGACATGACGTCACTTATTTGCTAACAAACCTCGCGTCGCGGTCTATCAAAGTCATTCAAAGTGACCAGACGTAAATTGAATTAGCTATTCAAATAACTTTTACTATTTTTTTTTCGTCATAGTGATCGAAAAATTTGGTCGTAAAATATGTCGTAAATATAAAAACAGTTAATAATGGAGTCCTCATAATATAACACACGCAAACTCAATTATTATAATCATTAAAAAAATTATAACTACAAAATGCACTGACATTCACTGAAGCTGGTCACACTGGCATGTTGTTTGCGAAGAAGTTACGTCACCGAGCTCTGATTGGTGTTTGAGATAGAGTAATGGAGGGTAAAAAATATTGCAGCGTTTTTAATTTATATTTCAATGGAGACAAACATTTAAGGTCTCCAAATGTTATTATAGGTATTAAAATACTGTCTTTAAAATATTAAACATAACTTTATTTGAATTTGTAACACTAGGAAACATCCCCATTGTACTTATCAATTTTTCTAATAACAATTAATTTTTTTTAGGTACTAACTTTTGTCTCTCATTTGATTAGTCAAATAAATATTGTATACCAATCGATTGAGAACAAATCAAAGTATTTATTTTAATCTGTTAATAATTAAATTCTATTGTACGTTTACGCAGAAATATTGTTAACAACATAAACATAATTTTAGTTTAAATAAAATTTATTTAAAAATATTTATTGTGACATAGTGTCATGGAAACCAGACATTCTTTAACCTCATTCGTACTTTATAATTGTATGCTCATTGTTATATTTAAGTCGCATATTGCATTAAGTCATGTATTTCATACAGGTCAGCTTAATGAATTATTCAAAAGAACTTTATTGTAACGGCAATGTATTAAACGAAAAGGAATACAAAAAAAAACATTTCTAATTGTCATGATAGATAGTCGGTATAACTTTTTTAATTAGTTTTTTTTTTTTGGGATAGTTTCATAAATTCTGCCAAGCAGGAGAATAACTATTTCTGGGGTCGATATTAGTTTAAAATGGGATTAGGCGCTGTTATGTGTTAAAATTTAATTTAATGTAAATGAACACAACCATAACTCCTGGAAATAGGTCGATTGAACAATTCCACATTAATTTGTGGCACTGAATTCGCATCAAGCATCAATGTTGTCCTTTCTAGCGACGACGTTTTTGCAAATATCTTGTTTTACGGAATGTACACGTTTATGAGCCATGTGTGCATGCTTGTAACTTATAATACCTTTACATGCAACAGACGGAATTTTATTCCACTAAAATAATTGATTACACTTAGCTTAATGTCAAACCAAATTGTAGATGTAAATAAATCATTAAATAAAATCCTTTTTTTTTGTGTTTTAATTTCTAGAGATCAGAGATAGTGTTACTATCTTCGTCAGCAAGGAATTAAAAAAAAATAGCCCCAGTTAACCCCCCAAATACATCTTCCCCTACCATCCAGTGAAGTGCACCTTGACTACCATCCTACCATTTAGTGAAGAATTATATTTTTTGTAAGAAGTACCTCAAAAACTTTTGGGCCGATTTCAAAAATGATTTCATCATTAAAAAGCTACGTTATCAGTAAGTAACGTTACGTAGGCTATGTTTCACGCGGGCGAAGTCGCGAGCACAGCTGGTATTGTATATAGACACTCCAAATTTATTGAATTTTAAGCTTTGACTTTTACAGATGATCAGTATTTCTAAAGTCATACTATTGCATTATTAATAGTTATTTTGATTTTGAAATAACATTTTAATTTTATAATTGATTATTTGTTTTATAATTGTAGTAAAAGAAGTAAGTATAACGGAATAATTTCTTTGGACTTTTAAATGTCATTTGCGATTTGACAGTTCATTGACGGTTTGACATTGACGTTTGGACTTATTCAATGACGCATAGCGATTGAGGAATCATTTATTTCCTTTGATAACATATAACTTTCTCCTCCCTTATATAAATAAGTGAATAAAGTTCAACCGTTTTACCAAGAAATTTGATATAAAATTTCTCTGTGGTTTGAAGTTAATGATATTCATATAAATTTACGTACTCTACGGGAGTCCACCTGTTGTTTTCTCTCCAGAACCGGCTTTTAAGGTAAATTAAACGATTTTTATTTTGTTGATGTTTAAAACACAAGCATAAGATTATTTTTAAAGTCTTTAACTTTGGTTAGTATATTAACTGATTTATATTACGCACGTAATATAATCTTTTTGACAAGATAACGTCATATAATTGTGCTATATGTTTAAAAAATCATTTAATAATTCTAATACATAGTTAATGTTTTATTTAATAAATGTGATTTATCAGATATATAAATATTTTTTAGTAGTACTTGTTTTGATCATATAATTATTACAAAATAATCATTACTACTAGTGTTGTATGTACTTTAAATGAAGGTCCACTGCTGAAACTTGTAAAACATATTGCCATCTCTTTTTTCCTATTTAAAAAATGGAAACAACTATATTTTGTACAATCGGGGAATCTCAGTGTTCTACCTTAAATGCTACAATTGGTTGAACATTTGAGATGATACAATTCATCATGCATGCACCAACCCGCACTTAGCCAGTGTGGTTGACTATGGCCTCGTCACCCATTATGAGGGTAGGCTCCGAGCCCCTCGGTGGCGACATGTAGTGAGCTTATGATGGATGCATGGTAAATGGTAAATGGTACATACATTTGATTTTTAGTATCCCATTTTTGCACAACTCACTTATATAATTGATTATTCATAAGAATTGGAGTTAATCTTGTTGCGAAGAACAATTTTTCTGTAAGTGGAACATCTCCTAATTCCATGACTGTACTTTTATAATAGAATCTTACAACATTAAACTGTTAGTAGATGTGGAAAGCAGCAACAGATGTGACAGCTCCCGCACCAGCGGAGGCTGACGATTGGGAGACAGACCCTGACTTTGTTAATGATGTCAGTGAACATGAACAGAGATGGGGACCTGGCGGGAGAAATGTAGAAGCTATTGAGTAAGTACTTTGGACAAACTTTGATGCAACTACATATTGACTTGGCACTTCCGACAGAACTAAATGTTTTGGCTGATGTGCCAAATCGAATCTGATTACTGTAATTTATTTATATACTTGACAAGTATATAAATGCCAGGAACTTTAGAGGAAAGATAATTATTGTTTTATCTTAAAATTTATCATTAATATATTTTTTTAAATAATATTATAAGTGAGTTTGTTATTTATTTTTAAAGTAAATATAACATAAATAAAAGACTCAATAGTAAAAAACCGGCATTAACAGGATATTCAGAAAGCTATTACAAGGAAAATAATTTTATTTGTAATGATAACTGTATTATTTATATCATAAAGTGACAAATGAACAAGTCACAAACTTCGCCAAAAAAGCAAAATGAACGCTTCCCGTACACATTTACAAACGCAATTTATTGCATTCTGTTTATGTATCTATCTCGCTTTGTTTAAGTCCTATTTCCACTGGTGCTTTCACTGTACATAAAAGTGTTAAGTGGAAATGAGTTATCAGACCTCCTATAGGTCCCCATTTGAACTCATATGAACTGTCTGTATTTACTCTACGGCAGGAAACCTGTGAATCACATTGACACAATGAATCATTTATTTAAATGTAAACATGCTTTATTTACATGCTCTTTCTATACAGTTGTGAGAACTACAACTAAATATAATGACATATAACCTGTTAAAACAAAACTTTTCATAAACAAAAGACATGAGAACACTAATCTAGGTAAATATTAAATTATGATAGCTTTCCGCGACTCCCTCCGCGTCGAATTAAAAAAAAACAAAAGCAAGTAGCCTATATGTTCTTCTAGGCTATACTCTACATCTATGCCAAATTCCATCGAGATACATTCAGTTGTTTAGGCTACAAACTCTAACAAACATCCATAAATCAAAACATGTAAACTCTCGCATTTATAATTTTAGTAACATTTGTTATATGCAAACTTTTGCCGCCGACTTCGTCTGTTCGCAATTAATAAAAATTAAGTAGCTTACGTTCTTCCAAACTATGTTCTGCATCTGTGACAGGCATCGAAATCTGTTGTGTCTTTCAGAGTTACCTAGAAACATCCATCCATGCAAGCTTTTGCCTTAAGTAATATTATAATTATGTTATTTCACAGTATGGCGAGGCTAAGAGAGGAAGTGCTTCAGGAAGACAATCAGATAAAGAAGAAACAGTATGAACAAGGACCTAAACCATCTTTTGGGTAAGTTTTTAATGATGAATAAATCACTAGCTTTTATCCGAAACTCCGTCCACAGAATTAAAAAAAATCAAAAGTAAGTAGCCTATGTGTTCTTTTTTTTTATAACATAAGGTGGCAAACGAGCAAACGGTCACCTGAAATCGCCAAAGTGGCGAAGCGACCGCTGCCCATAGACATCCGCAATTGCGGATGCGTTGCCTACCCTTATCCGACGGAGGAGGAGACGCACATAAAGAGGATATTTCCCCTTCCTATGCATCTCCTCCACTGTCAAATCAACTTCCTCTTCCCAACCTTTCTTTACAAGAAAAGGGTGGTAAAGAGAAAGTCTTCCAGAGTATCCTCTATATCTATATGAAATTTCATCAGGATCTGTTCACCTATTTAGGCTTTAAACTCTAACAAACATCCATCCATCCATCTTTCACATTTATAATATTAGTATGATGTTTGATTACTACCATAAATGTCCATGTTTAATAATAAAAAACATCTAAATGATAACCTCAATTTTATAATTATTATGCTAAATTTCAAATTCCATAATGTTTTTTGAAAACTAAGGTATTTAATTCAAATATAAACGGTAGGTAATGTTTCTTGTAAGATTGACAATAATATGTAGAAATATCAACACAAGTCAGCATAATGTTATGACATACTTATTTTGCTGAGTTTCAATTATAATTTTTTGTCACAATGTTACCCTTTTTCTTAGATATGGCGGAAAATTCGGTGTTCAAGAAGACAGAATGGACAAATCAGCGGTTGGACACGACTATGTCGGAAAGACTGAGAAACATGTCTCACAGAAGGATTATGCTCAAGGTAAGTTATTGGAGACAACTTTAAGTTGAAAGTCCTACAGTTTATGTCACGTATTTTCACGCTATTTAATTTAGAGAGTGATGGAATTCCAAAAAAAGTCATACGAGTAAGGGACAAAACTAAAAGCTAAAGCAAAGAAGCAAGATTGTCTTAGTAACAGTAATTATTAGGCAATAGCAAAGGTTTTTGTCATTTATGCATTTAAATTTTAGAGGGTAGTCTGAAAAACACATACCTTTGTTTTTTAATTCCACGCGGATATAGTCGTGGGCGAAAGCTAGTGTTTTTATACTCATATTAAATTATTCTCTTTATAAAGATTAATATTTTTTTTTATTTAATATTTATTATTAATATTTAGAAAAGATTAATATTTTTTTGTATGTATTGGAATAACTCAAAAACTACTGGGCTGAGCTGAGTAAAATAGTTTTAAATTCATGGAAACTGTTTTATAATATTCTAGCTGTTGCTTGCGACTTCGCCTGCGTGGAATTAAAAAAAATAATGAAAAACGGCCTATGTCATTCATAAAGTGGCTTTTTAATGGCGAAAGAATTAAAATCGGTTAGTTTTTGAGTTATTTCGATTTCATACAAAAACAATATTTTTACCTCTTTGTGTTGTTACTAGCTGTTGCTTGCCATTTTTCCGCATGAAATTTTAGAAAAATTCTATGTTACAGATAAATTACCTTTCTAACTTGTGAAATAATTTTTAAAATTGGCCCAGTAGTTTTTAAGTTACTTCAACATATACACAAATACAAAGTTTTAAAATTGGCCCAGTAGTTTTTAAGTTACTTCAACATATACACAAATACAAAGTTTTAAAATTGGCCCAGTATTTTTTAAGTTACTTCAACATATACACAAATACAAAGTTTTAAAATTGGCCCAGTAGTTTTAAAGTTACTTCAACATATACACAAATACAAAGTTTTAAAATTGGCCCAGTAGTTTTTAAGTTACTTCAACATATACACAAATACAAAGTTTTAAAATTGGCCCAGTAGTTTTTAAGTTACTTCAATACATACACAAATACAAATTTTTAAAATTGACCGAGTAGTTTTTGAGTTACTTCAACAAACACAATAATACAAATCTTCTTTACAATATTAGTATAGATATGGAATTACGTAAATTCCAGGTTTCGGTGGCAAGTTCGGTGTACAGTCAGACAGGATGGACAAGTGCGCGGTGGGCCACGACTACGTGGGCAAAGTGGAGAAGCACGTCTCGCAGACTGACTACGCGCAGGGCTTCGGCGGCAAGTATGGCCTGCAGACTGACAGAGTCGACAAGGTCTGACACCACTTTGAGTCTTTTGAGTTTATTGAGTTTGTTGGATGTTCAGTACTCTGAAAGGCTATCCTATAAGAAGTTGCTTTTGTTTGTTATAGATTTTAGGATGTTATGAGTTATTATGAACTGTCGGTACAATTTTAATATTTAAAACTAGGTTATGTAAATTATTTAATCTTATCACCATATTTTGAGTGTTTTGAGTTTATTGGTTGTTCAGTAGTACTGTGAAAGGTTATCGTATACGAAGTTGTTTTTGTTTGTTGTAGATTTTAGGATGTTTTAAGTCATTAAAAATCGTTAGTATTATTTTTATATTTGTATTTAGCTTGTGTAAATTATTTAATCTTACCACCATAGTTTGAGTCTTTTGAGTTTATTGGTTGTTCAGTGACATAGTCTGAAACACATATATCCTATAAAAAGTTGTTTATGTTTAAGATGTAATAGGTTTTAAGGTATTTTGAGTATATTTGATATGTCAGTATAATTTTGATACTTAGGGGCAGTACTACCAAATTCTCGTAAATTGCCTGATAATAATCAAACAGATAAAATACGTGACGGAAATATAGGATTTTTTGTTTC